TACAATATACTCCAAACCCTATTCTAATTGTAAAGCTCCCAATAATAGATCTTAAGGGGTGTAGGGTATTGGCTTGACGTGGTACTTGTAGGGTTCGGAAACCTCACACAAAACTGTATACGAAACTGTAAACTCCATTTTTCAGCCCCTCATGTCAAACCCTAAGTCCCAAACTGTAATCGACTGACCTCAAACCTGCAGGAAGCCCAGCAGCTCAGGTGTCGCAGGGCCGAACGAAGAGGTAATTCTCTTCCTGGACCTTGGCCCGTGCGACACGGACGCCGTGCTTTGCTTGCAGCGATGCCCTTACCAAAGGTGTAGGTCTGAGGGACTTGGTTCGGGAGTTTTGAACTTCGAGAGGTTCGGAGCTGAAGGTGCAACCCCAAAGCCTAAACCCTAAACCCTATATTAGAGGGCTGAATTGTTCGCACACTTGGAGGAGTTGAGGGTTGACGCTGATGCCTTGCGTTCTCTTAAACCTAAACCCCAAACCGTACAACTCGAAACCCTGGTGTCCTAAAGCCCTATAGGGCTTAAGCAAGGACTAGCCGTGTCCCCCTGGAGTCCCCTTAGAGTTGTACTATAGCATGACCCACAATAAGGCCTCTACATAAAAGACCCTATAGAACTTTAACGGAAACCCATCCTAAACTCAAAACCCCCAGCCCAAAACCCTAAACCCTAAACTCTAAACCATAAACCCTAGGCCCTAAACCAAAAACCATCCTAAACCCTAAACTCTAAACCCTAAACCCTAGGCCCTAAGCTCTAAAGCTCCGGAAGATGCCTCTCAGCCCCTTCATGCGTACTTCTCGAAAGTAGGGTCCCTTTTCGGCGAACTTTTCGGGTCCTTTGTTAGGGTTTAGGGTTTAGGGTTCAGGGTTCAGGGTTTAGGGTTGGGTGCTTCGCTAATTATTTTGGGGACCTAATAGAAGACCCTAAGTTAGAGAAATACCCTTAGAGTACCTTTGTAGAAACTGTATAGAAACCCTTATAGATCCCTTGAATGAGCCCTCAGGAAAAAAAACCCTTAATTTAGAGACCCCTAAACCCTAAACCCTAAACGGAGCGTGCACTAACTAGACTTTTCTTTAGTTAGTGCACGCTCCTATGGAGTGAGCCTTTGGACCTCATGCGAGAGAAAGGGCTACTGCATTAAAAAAAACCCTAAGCCCTAAGCCGTAAACCTGTCGGTGCCCCCTCAGGTCTGGGACGATACGGAGCTGGAGTTCCTCGGTCAAACGGTTCGGCCAGCGCTTCGATTTAGGGTTTAAGGTTTAGGGCATTTTTAGGGTTTAGGGTTTAAGGTTTAGGGGATGTTTAGCGTTTAGGGTTTCGGGGATTTTTAGGGTTTAGGGTTTCAGGTCTGAGAGATTCGTCTTTTAGGGCTTAATTGGGGTTGGCTGGCACAGGGTTTCGGGATTGACCGTATCGCTTGTGCGCTCTACAGGCTTGAGCTTTCAGCGTTTTGACTTGAGCTTCAGAGATTTCGTTAAAGGCTCCTCTATGTGAGTAGTTCTCTAAATTAGGGTCTCTTTTAGGGTCCTTTTTACAAGGGTGCCGTACTATGTTGGGGACCAAAAAAGGGACCCTAAGTTCGAGAACTATCCTTTGTAGAACGGCGCGATGGGAGGCTGTCTCAGCACTGTGAAGCGTTGGGTTGTGACGCTAAGTAGGATCTCGATTCTATTCGTCATCCGGGTCTCTCCAACCTACTCTTTCGGTTGGCAGAAGGTCATGCTGCCCGTTTAGGGTTTAGGGTTTAGGGTTTAGGGTGCCCTGTATTGCCATACCCGGCCGGCACGACTGTATCCAAAGAAGTCAGAAAATCTTGCCCTGCTGCCGAAGCAAGCTTGGCCTGCTATGGAAACGGTTTAGGGTTTAGGGTTTAGGGTTTAGGGTTTAGGGTTTAGGGTTCAGGGTTTAGGGTTTAGGGTTTAGGGTTTAGGGTTTAGGGAGCCTCGATAGCTATTGGGCTTTATGCGTTTGGAGTCTTTTTTTTCTGCAACCCCCCCCCCAAAACCCTATCCTAGCAAAACCCGCCCTATACTAGCCCCTTACCATATCCATGGCACACAGGGCTTCATGAAGAGCCCAACTCCAAAGCCTCAACGAGGATCCCGCTCCCAGCAGCACCGGCAGCAGAGATTTCCCTGTGCTTCGGCCAAGTGTCAAGGGTGGGGACGACCGGAGGGTTCACTGACTTCAAGAGGAGCGTTTAGGGTTTAGGGTTTAGTGCGTTTAGGGTTTAGGCTTGAGGGTTCCGTGCGTTTAAGGTTTTAGTGCATCTAGGGTGTTCATAGGGTTTAGGGTTTAGGGCAGTGTGTATGTGCACCGAAAAAACCGGAAGTGCTCTGGCACAGAATGCTGCAAAACCGCTCAGCCGCCAGTCTCCAGCAAGCAAACAGAACTCGAAAACAGAGGTGCGCCCTCATTCAAAGAATAAATGGAGTGTAAGGGCCCTCATTCACAGAATAAGTGGAGTATAAGGAGAGACCCCAAACCCTAAACCCTAAACCTTAAACCCTAAACCATATAAACCCCGTAACCCTGTAACCCTAAACCCCAAACCCCAGGCAAGGCTCTGCTACCGCCGTCCTGGTCCTCTTTGCCGCCAAATGCGTCCGGCGGAAGTTTCGGGCTTGATCCTGCCCTGGTCTCACGAAATTTAGGGGTTTAGGGTTTAGGGTATAGGGTTTAGGGTTTAGGGTTTGGGGTTTAGGGTTTAGGAAGTTTAGAGTTTAGGTGGCCTAAACACCTAACCTCTAAACCCTAAACCAAACGTTTAAGAGATTTCAGGGATCCAAATGTTCTGAGTATCCTTGATGTAATCAAGACCCCCCCAAGCCCTCAACACTGGACCCTAGGCCCGAATCCCTTGAAGCCTAGACCCTTACATCTTACACCCTAAACTCTTGAACCCTAAACCCTCAAGCCGCACATGACCTTAAACCTAAACCCTGAACCCTAAACCCTAAACCCTAAACCCCCTACAGCCTTAGATCCGGAGTAATTCGTAAATCAGAATAGCAAGCAGCCAAGACCAGCGGCGTGCTCAGAGAAAAGACTCCCATGAGGTGTTTGGGTGAGATGAGAGCCCGACACCCTGCAAGTAACCCTAAAGCCCAACACCCCAGCTTGCGACACTGGCCCTGACTTTTAAACTGTCAAGCTTCACATCCCAGATGGGGCTTCTAGCTCTGCTTAGGGTGTGTAGACTTTAGGGTTCGGGGGAGTTGCCCTTTTAGATGTGGGTGGTTGTCAAAATTATGGTCCCTTTTTGGGCCCTTATTATAATACGGCACCTATTATTTAGGGTACCCCAAAAGGGACCATAATTTTGACAACTACCATGTATAGATCACGAGGCCTCGGCTGCTTGCACGAGTCCTCGGTGCCGGCAGCACGACACTAGGTAGTATTATTAGGGGTACCCCTTAAAGGGTACCCCTTCTGAACCCTACTTTTGGCTCTCTTAAAAGGGACCTTGTTGAGATATATCCCCAAGGGTCCCCCTAATCCTAGCTCCCAGACACGGCAATATCGGAGTGGTACTTGCGGGATGCTGGCGTTGAACTCACAAGGCTGTCTGAATAACACAGGAGACTGAATACCTAGTAGGACCAAGTCACAATTACTAGCCCCAAAAGCCTACTCTAACTATTGAGGCCCGTATGATAGCTGAACTCTTCACGGACATTCTTCTGTCAACCTGACGCGAGATTAAAAACCAGATGCTTGTAGAACTAACTAGTAATTTATGTTTAGGGTTTAGGGTCTAGGGTTTAGGGTTTAGGGTTTAGGGTCTAGGGTTTAGGGTTTAGGGTTTAGGGCCCAAAGCCGCTAGAAGCCCGAAAGCCTAAATCATGGTAGCAACGGGTGCGCGGGATCTTTCAGGGATAGCTCTACTTGGCCGTAGTGGTGAAAAAACTATTCTGCGCCGTCGTTGTTTTGGGTATGACAGCAGCCTCTGCTGCTGCTGCTGCTGCTGCTGCTGCTGCTGCTGCTGCTGCTGCTGCTGAGACCACCGCCACAAATCTCTTACACTGCCGCCGCTGACCTCGGTCTAAATTCCAAACTAAATCCCAAACCCCAAGCCCAAACTCAACATTTTCCCCAAACCTTCAGCAAATCCTTATGGAGCCACTTAAACTGAAGGAATAAGTTAAGGAATCCGAAAAGACCTTGCAGCAACCCCCGAAAACCCTAAACCCTAAACCCTGAACCCTTAACCCTAAAACCCCAGCGTCATACATTGCAACTCATCGCCGCACAGGCGCTGAGAACGGGCACGGCGACCTACCGGGCGACGGGCCGACCAAATGCCAACACCAGGCCATCGTTTTAGGGGTTTAGGGCTTGGGGGTTAGGGTTTAGGGTTTAGGACGTAGGGTCCTGTTTCAGGTGTCAAAAGGGGCACGGCACCTTTATAAAAAGGACCCCCCAAAAGGGACCCTAAATTAGAGAACCACCCGGAGGAGGGTTCTATCTGGGTTCAATGAGGCGTCGGGCATAGGATTTAGTGTTCTAGAAGAGCTCGATAAGTTCTTTCTGCGGGCTGAGGGTACAGGATTTAGGGTTTGGGGCCCCATAAGGATTGAATTAATCAGTTCTCTATTAGGGCTGATGGTTTAGGGTTTAGGGTCGAGGGCTTAGGGTAAACGCTGTAGAGCTTTGGGGCTCTGAAAGGCTCCAAAGATGATCGCCAGTGTGCGCAGAAGCCTCTGATCGGAGCAAAGATCTCGGATTCAGCACCCCGACACCCTAAACCCTAAACCCTAAACCAAAACCTTAAACCGTGCCCGACACCATACAACCAGGACCCAAACCTCTCAACTTCGAACCCTGAGCCGTAGCACCAAGGTCCGAAACCCCGAACCCTCAAGCCCTAAACCCTAAACCCTAAACCCTATAAACCCTAAACCCTAAACCCTAAACCCCTGAAGAAGAACCATTCTGGAACCTCAAAATGCGACACGTGGACCTGGCTCCAGGCTCACGCTCATCGACACGTTCTTGCAGTATCGGACCATGCAATACCAGGCCTGACTTGGCAAGAATCATTGGATAAGGGTTTAGGGTTTAGGGTTTAGGGTTTAGGGTTTAGGGTTGAGGGTTTAGGGTTTAGGGTTTGAAGCCAAGCAACGAACAGGGAGATTGGAGGAAGGGTTCGGGATTCAGGGTATCGGGTTATCAGGCTTTGGAAGTTTCGGGCTAGGTTTGCGCTTTCCGGGGCCTTGGCAGCTTTGGGTGCCTTCGTTGCTGGACCTTGAACGAAGATTGTGGCGTAAACTACCTGATTATGCGGCAGAGTGAACGAGCGTCTCAGATTCCCAAGAAAAGCAATCTTCTGCCCCTGTGATGATGATGATGATGATGATGATGATGGTGACACCGCGGGTTTCGATGCGGTTTTGAGGGCTGCCATGTTGCTGATGATGACATTGGTCGTTGGAATCTGCGATGGTCAAGATGCAGGTGACAACGATGATGGTGTTTGCGATGGTCTTATCTGCCCATCGCCATACCCTAAACCCCAAACCCTGAGCCCTAAACCTCTCTACCTATATACTATAGTAATTTGAACTTTATAGTCATTCTTGGCCAATGACTCTTTTTTTTCCTGGGCTGGCCCTAACTGGAGTCATAAATCGCTGCTGTAATCAAATGGTACTCTGAGGGTCTAAACCCTTCTATTTGTAGCATTTCAAACGTTCTTAATCATTTGTGGCGAATGCGCCCCTACACCCTAAACCCTAAACCCCAAAACCCGAACCCCGAACCCTGGGCTGGCCCCAGGGTTTAGCGTTTAGGGCTCTGGGCTGATCCAACTCATGGCCTTGAATCATAACTCGTTGCTGTAATCAACTGGAAGTTTGCGAAAGAAAGGGGTACCTTATTTGGAGTCCTTATAATAAGGATCCTACTACTTAGGGTACTAGATTAGGGTCCCCTGTTTTCGGAAACCCCCAACTGGTAGTCTGAGGGTGGGGTGGGGGATGACAGGATCCTTAGGGTGGTTAGCAAGGCTCTGGGCTGGCCGTTGGGGGTTTAGGGCTTTAAGTCGGGGCCTAGGATTGACGGTTTAGGGCTCTGGCCCTAGGATTTAAGGTTTAATGCTCTGCCCCTAAACCCTAAACCCTAAACCCTTTATTTTACCTTTAGGGCTTTGGGTTGGGCCCAGGGCTTTGCCCTTAGGATTTTTTAAGGTTTCAGGCTCTGGCCCTAGGTTTTACAACTTAGGGCGTTAAGTTGGGGCCTAGGATTTACGGTTTAGGGCTCTGGCCCCGGGGTTTACAGTTTAGAGCTTTGGATTTAGCCATTTAGCATCTACGGTTTAGGGCCCTTTAGAGCTACGTAGGGTTTTCCGTTTGGGGCTCTGGGTGGGGCCCTGGGATTTACGCTATGTAGACGGCACAACAGACAGCCTGAACCCGAATGCAGGGGCCTGTACAGGTTTATAGATTCTTATGCCTTAGGTTTCCTTATTATGCCTATGATATATTTTTTGCCTCCAAAGACCTCTTCTGATTGCAAAGGCGCTTCAAAATAACAGCCCGGAAACCCTAAACCCTAAATCCGGAAAGCCAGGATTCTTGCCTCTTCCTCTTCTACTACATCCTTTACCGCAGCGCAAACATGGGACTGGCTGGCGCCTTGCGCGGATCCTTGGGGGGCTTATCTTTGGTGTTGAGGGTTTAGGGTTTAGGGCTTATGGTTTAGGGTTCTTGTTGGGGTTCCAGTGGGCTCTATCGGGTTTCAGCGCGTTTTGTTTAAAGGGATGTTGGATGATTTCGGTTTTTGGTTGGGTTGTATGGTTTGGCCAATTCTACGAGTTCAGCTCTATCTGAGGATCCCTCATTTTCTGAAACTCCTGTGTCGGGGCGTGGACCCTCAGGGTGGGTTTCTATAAATACTAAAGCCCTCAACCCCGAAACCCTTAAAGCCCGAAAATCCTCAACCCTAAAACCTTAAACTTGAAAGCGCAGCTGTAAAAACGCTAAACCCTGCACCACAAACCTTAAAAAGCCCTAAAACCCTAAACCTGAAAAAAACCCAAACCCTAAAACCCTAAACCCGAAAAGCCCTAAAGCCCTAAACCTGAAGAGCCCTAACACTCTAAAGCCTTATTTCGCCCCTTCGCCCCAGGCCGATGGCGACCATCATCTTTGCGTGCGTCTGCTGGCTGATTGTGCCCACCCTGTTCCTTGTCCGCGCTTGAGCCGTTTTGCTTTTGGTGTTGCGGGTTTAGAATTTAGGGTGTATATAGGGCCAAGTTTAGGGTTTAGGGTTTTTTCTTGTTGCGCTGCTCCCTCTCGGCTTAACATGTTCCTACTGGACCGGAAGCCCCCAACCCGCAAGAGAGGGAGAGAGAGATATAGCCCGGCACATACAGCCTGTTCATCCTCGGGGGTCATGTTTACAAGAACTTGAAGAACAACACAGGTTCGCGCCGTATCCGACCTGGAAGAACCTCTGTGAGGCTGGGTCGTGATACGCCTCGAAGCCACCCCCCAAAAACCTGATTTCCTAAACCCTGAACCCTAAACCCTAAACCCTGAATCCTACTTATATCCACAACCCTTATACCCCATATTCGGGATTCCCGGTTGGCTTGGGGTTGTGGATTGTGAGATCTCGGTCTC